TTATCTTCTAATTCAAACAAGCCAATGACTTCGATAAGTCAGTGTGATGATCCAGGCCTACCTGGTGACGTATACCCTGGGGTTTATGGACATCTGTGATCAATCAAATTTGAAAGGTGACGTCAATGACACGCGTACAGCTTCTGACCACACGCCATAGGCAGATTCTACCAGCCAATCCGAGACAATGCAAACAGAAGCAGAATTATTCAAACAATACTACAATACGATTGGGGGAAGCCTAGATGACCAATGATCTTCTTTTGTACATATTATTTAATCGCCTTCATTTCTTCCAATAAACGAACTACGAACTACCATTCTTGTGGCCTTTTCCTCGCGTCTCGTTCACGTGGGATATTGCGAGCTCGTGCCATTGCGGTCCATTGTTTCCGTAATCCATTCCGTAATGGCCGATCCTTGATTCGTGTTTTATGATTCCTATTACATGGTTTGTGTTCCGTGTTCTGTGCGTATTACTACTACTACTACTAGTGCAATCAATACAGCCAATATCACTGATCATCTTCCCGTTCCGTTTATCGAATGGCCGTCAATAGCACCAAATAAATTGGATTTTCTCAAATTAGGCACGTAAATGTACTCGGAAATCTGCTTGGTCCGACAGAAACTAACAACCAACTTCGGAAGATGAAACGTGTCGTAGTAGTCATACACCCACGTGCATCATTTGCTCGACACCAGGTATGCGATCGACCGTGGAACACTTTTCTGCGATTGGTGACCCGAGCACCATAACAACCAATCAAAAACTATCGTGGTTTATGGAAATGACTACAATTCGATGAAAGAAACCGGAATTTCAGCGAAAAAGAAGAATAAAAAGCGGTTCTGAATAGAGAAGCCAAAAATACAGGTTTGCACAATGTATCCTGGATCATTTAACTGCATCTGTACACGTGTATACTACAGTTTATGTGACTGATAATATCAAAAAGAACCAGCTAAAATTGCTTGATAACGAACTGAATTGAAATAGGAAACTTTGAATCCCCTTTATCTAATTTGGTGGAACACAGGGAAGAGAATTACTGCAAGCAAAACGACCGCTGAAGCATTGAAAACGAGCTTGTTTATCACGTTCTCTTAAGGGATTTCCTACACACACTAAATGACAATTGTGGTAAACCCGATTAGGTCTATTCAATATTTATTCTACCTTGACACGGGATAAACCGCGTTTATTGAAGGATAGAAGGGATTGGCGTTAGATGAGTCATATTTACAAATAAATCTCTGTGAACAAACTGTGTGCAGTACGCCGAATTCAATCTTTGGCTAAAAGGTTTTTAGCTCACCGCCATAATTTTGGTAGGGGGAGGTATTATCTGCTCAATTTTCACGTGACTCTTTTGCTGTTATGTTCAGAAAAGCATATTTGTCTCACCGTGTCCGCTCGATTGTTAGACAAATTATTGATCAGATTTCAAATTTGGGCACTGCAATATCTTTTGCAGTGAACATTTTCTCTTGAACGTTGACATGGCTACAAAAATAAGCACGCAAATTGTAGACGAGATAGACGCCTCACATTCATGCGTTATCAGCTAGCCTTCGGCATTTGTAGAACGGCAGTTAGGAGCTCCATCTGTGACCCAATTGGCTGTTACAAAACAGCCAAGAAGAAAAGGTTTTTGCTGAGACAATGTGTTTGAAAGGGAACAATCAATTTAGATGTTTCACTTGTAAGATCGCATGAAGAAAAGATGTTTATAACACGTATGTGTGATGGGGAATGAGTGCGTGATAAAATAGGCATACTCCAGTAGATGTTGTTTTTCACCAATAGGATCAGTTCGGTAACCTGGACAAGTTACTAAAATTGACTTTCCAAATTTAAGTGAATCCACCTGTTGTGTTCAAAATTTAGTAGGTAAATGAGCACACAACAAATGAAGCAGTAATT